CCTCAGAAACGCAGAAGAGTCACTGAGAGATCTGACAGGAGACTCGGGCCAGAGTCAGGGTGGAAAATGAGGAGGAATTCAAAGGCAGGATGGTGGAAGCAAAGTCTTTCCTCACGGACCTGCTTGGGAGAGGCTGGTGAGGGGAAATGGGCAAAGGTGCCAGCCCAGGGGCGGGATGGGTCTGTCTAGACAACGAGTGATGGCTGTACCTACTGAATCTCTCTCGTCTTTCTCGTTTGCACTGAAGCTATGAACACAACCTGCCTCAGTAAGGTCCACGCTCTCAGGAATGCACCGCTTTCCTTTCATGCGAGGTCAGCCAGGCCCTTCTGGTACAACCCAGTCTGTCCTACAGCCCCAGAGCCCTGGCCCTATCCGATGAGTTTTCCATGTCATAGATGAAAGGATGCCTCGTCCTCATTTGACAGAGAAGTTTCTAACAATGCCCTGGAGGAGCGTTCCCCTGCCGTGCTCACCACCGCTCTCATTGGCCTCTAAATTCTCCCAGGCTCCACTAAAACCTGTCTGGGTGTCCTCTGGTTCCTTCTGCCCCAACCAAACTCACTGCTGACCTCATGGCTACTCATTGAATATTTGCACTTAGCTAACTTGGAGTCTAGGACTCCATGAGAGTGGATGTCCTCTTGAGGGAGTGTGCATTCGTAGAAAGACATGGTTCACTTTGGACTTAACCTTGAGCAAAGGATGTCACCTCTATGAGCCTCAGTTTGCCCATCTTCAAATGGGACTGATAATGATTATTGTGGGTCCTTGTGGGTGCTAGTTTGAGGATAAAGGGAATTAGGTACGCGCTGTTAGCGTAGGGCCACCAATAATTAGCTCTTCCTTTCCCTTCCTCTGCCTGTCTTTTCCTGGCAGCATACCTCCTCTACACTTAAACACAGACCTTGTTTGTTCTGTTCTAGTCTCAGCTTAGCTGGGAGAAAGACGTGGTCCTTGGGAACTTCCTTTTCACTTCCGCCTTCCACACTTGTTCCTTCCTGCTGGCTCTCAGTTCTTTTCTCCTCTAACTTATCATAAGACTACAATCGGACTCAAGTTTCTTTGACCTAAATTTGCTTCCCCAGCATAGTTTCCCATCCTATTTCATAGTCAAAGGTCATCATCAATCTCTTCCCTGAGTGTCCTGGAACTACAGGTAGTAGTAGACATGGGTAGCATCTATCTGCAACATTCCCAGTGAAGTGCAACTGGACCCACTATGCATCTTGGTATGAGAGGGGTCCCTTTAATTCAAGAAGAACCCCCACCTGGGCCAGAGGCATAATGCTAACATTGGTAAGACTTTCCATTTCATTCCATGCCTTGTGAAATACATAAATAATCTCTAAAAAAATTTACTTAGATTCCAAGGGTGGTTGGCTGTCTTAAATGTCAGGTACCATTTTCATAATACAACATCAGGGGTGGCATTTATATACACCCCTGAATTTGCCCCACATTTAAAAGTCTGGGCCACATATTTGTTACCACCATCCAGCTGCCTGGAGAGTCACAAACTAGATAGTCGACACCTAGGGGTCTGAGGAGGAGGCTACTCATCCCCACATGTCTTGCATTGCATCACTCTTTTTAAAAAGCATTGCTGAGGGCTGGAGAGATGGCTCAGTGGTTAAGAGTACTTTCTGCTCCTGCAGAGGACCTGGGTTCAGTTCCCAGCATCCACTTGGCAGCTAACAACCATTTGTTTTTCCATTTCCAGTTCCTGGGAAATCTGATGCCTTCTTCTAGCCTCCATAGGCACTGCACACATGTGGTGCACATAAATACACACATAAAAATACATAGAGTCAAAATAAATCTTTAACAAAACAGAAGCATAGCTTTTGTCCATTTTTAATAGGGATATATATATATATATATATGATTTTTATTGAGCTCTACATTTTTCTTTTCCCTTCCCTGCCTCTCCCCTTTCCCCTTCAAACTTCCCCCAAGGTCCCCATGCTCCCAATTTACTCAGGAGATCTTGCCTTTTCTACTTCCCATGTAGATTAAATCTATGTATGTCTCTCTTAGGGTCCTCATTGTTGTCTAGGTTCTCTGAGATTGTGATTTGTAGGCTGGTTTTTTTATTTATGTTTAAAAACCACTTATGAGTGAGTATATATGATAATTGTCTTTCTGGGTCTGGGTTACATCACTCCATCCATTTGCCTTCAAATTTGAAGATGTTATTATTTTCTTCTACTGTGTAGTACTCCGTTGTGTAACTGTACCACATTTTTGTATCCATTCTTTGGTTGAGGGGCATTTAGGTTGTTTTCAGGTTCTGTCTATGACAAACAATGTTTCTGTGAACATATTTGAGCACATGTCTTTGTGGCACAATTAACATCCTTTGGTTATATACCCAAAAGTTGTATTACTGGGTCTTGAGGAAGGTTGTTTCCTAATTTTCTGAGAAATCACCACACTGACATCCAAAGGGGTTGTACCATCTTGCATTCCCACCAGCAATGCAGAAGTGTTCCCTTTTCCCCACAACCTCTCCAACATAAGTTGTCATCAGTGCTTTTAATCTTGGCCATTCTTACCAGTGTAAGATGGAATCTCAGAGTTGTTTTGATTTGCATTTCTCTGATGACTAAGGATGTTGAACATTTCCTTAAGTGTCTTTCAGCCATTTTAGATTCCTCTGTTGAGAATTCTCTGTTTAGGACTGTACTCCATTTTTTTTTATTGGATTATTTGTTCTTTTGCTGACCAATTTCTTGAGTTCTTTAGAGATCAGACCTCTGTATGATGTGGGATTGGTGAAGATCTCTTTTTCATTCTGTAAGCTGTGGTTTTGTCTTGTTGACCGTGTCCTTTGCTTTACAGAAACTTCTTGGTTTCAGGAGGTCCCATTGCTTTTGTTCATTTTAAAAATATAATCCTATTGCTTTTGGACAGCCTTCTCCTGCTCTCTCTGTTTCATCTGCCATTATTCTTCCAAATGAATTCTTACCTTAAGATATCATGATTGGTAGGCAATAGCTTAACCACTTGGACACACTGTGCATCAAAGAACCATACCACTTTCTCTCCTTCCTGCCTGTCAGCGTTATTGCCACCTTAAGAACAGGGTCAAATCCTTCCCCCATGAACAGCTTTCTAAGCCTGTTCACAGTGGGGCACTATGTTCTCATTCCTCTCGCCGGCACCAGGTTTTCCCACCAAGCTTTGGAACTAGCTGCCCCATAACTACTCTTTTTTTTTTAACTTGTTGCTTTCTTTCATAATTTGGTGTAGCATGTGCTCATTCTCTCCTCGTTAGCACGCAGGCGTCCAGTGGGTAGAGGTCATTCCTTCCTCCCACAGCCTGGCATCCCTAATCTAACCCTCAGCATAGTAGGTGTTTCACCCATCCTTGTTTCTGTAAGTTCCCCAAGTGCCGTCCCACCTCCGCATTTATTTCTGGCTTGTTCCATAAAATGGGAACATCCTTCCCTCTGCGCTGTGGGAAATGCTTCTTCCAGATGTGTTCCAAAAATCCCAGACATATTAGTTAATTCCTTCTTCTGACCATTAACCCATGTGTTCATTAGAGCATGAATACCTACTGTGCACAGGTCGGAGAACCAAGGGCTTGCATTAGTGATTGCAGAAAACTTGGAATAGGCGGTACAACATGTACAACATGGTACAACATGGTAATAATGGACAGGTGGATGCATAGATAACGGCAGTAGGCCATGGACAGATATAATATGGTAGACTAATAAGATAGTTGATACCAGAAAATACAAGTAAATGAGCAAACTGACGAAATAAAAGGCATTGGGGACTTAACAAAAAGCCATTGGAATGGACTGTGTTTACGTGAGAATGTCTTAGAACAGGTTATTCGAACTTAAGTCTTCAAGCAAAGGAGAGACCAGAGTCCCAAAGAACAGGATCCATTCGTATTATTTCTTGCTATCATTTCCTGCACCAACTAGTGAAATCTTGGTTCCCGTCTAGACGTGTGGCCAATATTCGTCGGGTAAACGAATGACCAGTGCTGAAGGAGGAGCAGAGCCTGCGTGCTGTGTGCAGAGAGCAGTTCCTTCATCAAGGGCGCGTGTGGGGCTTGGGGAACAGCGGACTAGAAATGTCGTGTAAAGTGCTGAAGGGGGAAGGAAAAACTAGGGACTGGAAACATCTCTCCCAGGGTTGGGTTTACCCAGACAGTGAGACACACCTCATTGCCCCTCCATCCATCTATTCCATAATTATTTATCAAATGTGCGACATATGCCCAGGCACTGTGCTCAGACCTGGGGATCCAACCGCGAGCAAAATACAGCCCCACCATTCAAGGATCACGCGGCCTTTCGTCGTGAGCCAGTAAGTGATGCCACTGACAGCCCTGGTCACTGTTGGCCCCGGGAGAGTGGTGTGTTCAGCGGAGAGCAGAAGCCTTAGCTGATAGGAGCGTTAGCAGGGGCTGCGTCCTCGTGAGGACAGAGTCGGAACAGCAGCTGACATGAAGGCAGTCGGGAGGATTTGAAGCTTAGGGAAGAACTGTCTGTCTAGAGGGCTGTCTGGGATTTTAAGAAGACTAATTGATATCTATGGGGGAGAAATAAGTTTATTTATGGCCACATATGCGACCAGGTCTGCCTATCTCCTTAGCTTCAGATCTGAATCCTGGGCTATGAGGGAGAGGAGGGTGCTCTGAGTCTGGGAGTTTTGAGTTGGCCATATTAACTTTTCCTTGAACATACGTCCATGGGGCGGAGGTTGAAAATAGATTTTATTAGAAACCGAAGTCAGAATATGTTGGTTTTGGAGTCAAACCTCTGAGGGTCTGATGGTGTAGGGCCAGCGATTAAAACACAGACAGAAAGGAAGACAGTGGCGGGGGTCCTTTAATGCCAGCCTCAAGAGAAAGCCTTGGCTGGCTGGTCTCTGAGATCCTGGTCTGAGACTCAGACTGTGACCTCACTTCCGTGTATCTCATTTTTCCTTTTATGTTTTTTTTCCCTTTGTTTCTCGCTCTTTTTATCCTCCAGGATGACGGTCTCCCAGAAAATGAGCATCAGCTGTCAGTAGCTGGCAAGATCAAGAAGCATTTCAACACGGGCCCCAAGCCGAACAGCACGGCAGCCGGAGTTTCCGTCGTAGCAGTAAGCATCTGAAATACCTAACCACCCCTGCCTTTTCAAAGCAGCCCACCCGAGAGACAGGCATTCCTTGCGAGATTCCTCCCGGAGACAGCATAGTGGGTCATTTCTGCAGACAGCAGGGGAGGTGGTGTGTGTGTGTGGAGTGTCTCCCCGAGTGCCTCATTATCCCACACCTTCAGGGGATCTGGCAGCCTATATTAATTTCATGATTTATTTTTTTTTAAGGAAAAAAAAAACACCCTCTCCCCAAACTGGACTCTGTGCCAGTGTAAACTTCTTGGCTCTCAGGTAAAGCCTTCAGTGTCCTTTAGCTAGGAACTGCAAGGGAAGGAGAGCTGGGAGGGAGACAGCGGAGCAGAATCCTGAGCAGCATAGACGTTTGGTTTGTACTAAATCTAGGGCAAAGGCGAAGCAGCAGAAAGCAAACACAGTGATTCTCAGGGAGACTGAAGCACTGGGTATTGTGGGCAATACCCAGTGATGTCACAAGGTCTTGCTCCTTAGGAATTTGTTAAGTTGACATTTTTTATCATGTGCCCTTTTATCTGCTGAGTTTGCACTGGATCCCCCCCCCCCCCGTTCTACACATGCAGGCATACATTATACGTAATCTGATAGCCTCTCTAACAAAGATTAAATTGGTCCGAGAAATACTAAAACCTCAGACTTCCTGATGTCAAATTCTGGAGTGCATATATCCACATCTCAGATCACTTGAGTTTTTCACAGTTTCCTCTTTAGCCAGACTACGTCCATTTTAGCAGCACACTCCCCGTGAGAGTCACTCGGGCTGTGCCCCTTTTCTCAGCCAAGCATTTAGGGTGATGGCGAGTCTTGGGAGAGTATTCATGCTGTGGACAGCCCGACTGCTCAGCTCACGAGCAGGGTTCCTGGTTAGTCCTCTTTGTGGGTGTTGCAGCGTTCTGCTTTTCTTTTCCGTTTTGAACTTGCTAGAGTGCCAAAGCTAAGACTCGGGTAGGGACTGCTTTGAGAGTTACCTGTGTGAAGGGACTTCCTGACTCTGCAGATGGCAAAGACAAGCTAGCTCCTGTTCCCATCTCACAGTCCTCCAGGGACAGTGTGGGTGACGACAGATGGCTGTCCGTGGAACATAAACTCTGCTGGATGTTCCTCGGCAGTGCTGAGGTTTTACACGCTCAAGCTGCTCTTTTTGCCTCTCTTTATTTCTTTCCTAAAAAAACTCAGTGGTTAAAAAATCAGCTGTCCTCTGTATTTTCCAGTGTTTGTCACCAGCTAACATCCACACTAGGAATTTTTGCAAGCTACTATCTCTTGGGATTGCGCATTGAGACCAAAACTCTGTTTTCGTGGGTCTGGCTGTTCTGAAAGATTTGGCTCCAGTGGGCCACCATTTTGGACTGGATGGCCAGCACCCTGTCCACAAGAACAATTGTTTCTCTGCTCCTGCTCAGGGCTCCTTGCTGTTAAAGAGACATCTTTCCCACCTGGGTCATTTGTTTCTGTTTTTGTTTTGTTTTGTTTTTCCTCCATAATTTCATTTTAATCGGTCTTTGGTTGAGTTTACTTTGGCTGTTTAGTAATGGATTGTTTAAAATATTCTATGAGTCCTGTAATCACTGTGGACAGAAATGTCTGTGCGATTTTCCAGTTAGCAAACACTACATCTTTGAAGGCAAGTTCTATTTTCATCAGACACTGATAAACTCTGAAACCAAATATTTATGAATTTATTAAATTATGAATTTGCTAAAACGCCATCAAAATATCTCCACAGAGTACCAGTTGTCACTGGTATTTTTTTTCTAAGAATCACGACTACACCATTTTGAATGAAATTGTTTGCTTTTGCTTTGTCTTGTTATTGGGTTTTAGTTTTTGTTGTGGCTGCTGTAGTTTGGTTTCACTTTTCTTTTTGAGACAAGGTCTCACCTGTACACCATGCTGACCTAGAACTCATTATGTAGCCCAGGTCGGCTTCAACCAAACTTGAAACAGCCCTCGTATCTCAGCCTCCAGTGGTGTGAGGCTCGGTGCCCAGCATGAATGCTACTGTGACAGAGAGGTCTCCGTTTATCACTAACATATTTGCCATGGCAACCAAGCCACAATAGAAATATGCGTTACAGCGTACTAACTTGGAGTGACACGTGAATGGATGCACATTGAAGATGCCTTAGCCACTGCACAGCACTACACTCAGGAATATTTTGCATGGCAACCACTGTCATTCAAATTTCAAGCATCAAAAAGATATCAATGCCAGTGTTGAAAGACACTCATATGCCTTCTCCAGGATGCTTTTCCCACATCAGCATCTCTGCCTTCTGCAGAGACTCCTGGGACGTTACAAGGCCTGCATGGGGCAGAGCTGGGAACTAGAAGATGGCCACTGGGCCTGCCTTGCTTTTAGCTTTCAGAATAGCACTGGCAAATTCCATACACTTGTTTCTCAAAGACTAAGTATTTGTAGCAGTTCTATCACAAGATTAAATAATATTAGTATTAAATAGTATGCCCTCCCAAACTCTGTGTATGACCACAGAGCAATAATCCTTGCTGAGCAGGACTTCAGTGGGAGGTGAACTAAATATCTTTTATGAATGGTGTAGTCTATGAAGATCACTTGACAAATTCATAATTCTGGTTTTAACCTCCTCGTGATAAGAACTTCTCCAGTGATGATTTCTGTTTGATAAATTAACTGAAAAAAACCAGTTTCCTTGGAGTTATTTTCCCCTGAGCATATATGTGCTCCCAGGAGGCTACGAAACACATGCATTTTAAATTGTCTTTGTCTTGCATAGTCCTCTTCTTTTTTAATTATATGCACTCCTGGAATTTTTTTTTAAATTAGATTGGGGTGTCAGTTTGTGGACTTTTTTTCTTTCTTTGCTCTTTCTGGAAACAGCCAGTCATGTCATTGGTCTTTATATAGGACTTGCCTTCCCTTAGCCAGACATCCGCCTGGCACCAAACAACACTGACTCTACAGGAGTTTATGGCACGCTTCTTTTCTTGGGTGACAAAAGAGACACAGACTGTCACCAAGCACGCCCCATTCACAGGTGCCATCTTTGACATGAGTCTAGCTTAGCACGCGTGCGCGGTCTGAGCCACTCTGGCTTGTCCGCGTTGCTGCTTTTTCTGCCCTGTTTCTCGTTCCATGCGTTCCTGAGAGCAAGGGAAGGGTCAGATGATGACTTCATGTGAAGGCTGCACAAGCATCCCCAATTGGCTAGGAATGTAATTACCAACTGGAGATCTTAGGGGTCATGGGGCCCTTCTGAAAGAATGGAAAATGACCTAGTGTTGTTGAAGCAGGCAGTGTGGTCAGGGGGAGGAGCCACGCTGTCCATAAACCAAGGTATTTTGCCCCTGAGAAGGGTTCCATTGTCCTGCCATCTTTCATATGAGCCGGATGAGTTTAAAAAAAAATAGGGAAACAAAAGGTTATTAAAATGCAATTTATAGACATGAAATGGAATTAGAGATGACATCTTAACGGTGGACTCCCTGCGAGCTGGGAGGGGGAGGGAAGCATGATTAGATTTGCCCGGCTTGATGAAGAACCCAACTAAGATGACACTTCCAATTTTCCCCCCATTTGTTGCTGTTTATTGTTTTAGTTGATAATTTTCCTAATGCTTTAACATTGTCCTTTTGAATTTTGTTCATGCAAATAGAGCGTTTCGGCCTAATTGAACAAATCCATACTAATCAGTTAATATGAGATGCTGGAAAGCTTGGCTCAGTAGCCCTGGTGCCCTGCTCTATGACACTCTGCCTGTAGATGGCAGTAGAGAACTAGTTCCTTGCCACCCTCTTTGTGGCCTAAAATAGAGACCACACAACCCGCTCCTAGAGAGCAAGCGAGCTACATTTTTTTCTAAACAAACCAACAAAAAAAATTAAAAAAAATAAGATGAAATAATACATTTTGAAGATTAAAATCTCACATTGCTTTCTCTGAACACGCATACAAACTAGTTTCCAATCAGAACACCCAATCTTCAAGAGTGGTTTTTAGGTTAAATGCCTGGTACCCTGGCATGTTTTTGAAATGCCTTTTGTGAATTACAAGTAGAAGCTGTCAGGAGCATCGAATCAGCGAGCTACTTGAAAGGACTCCAGAGCCTCTGTTTCCAAAGCAAGGTGCATCTTGAGTGGGCAGAACAGGGGCACAGGCAAGCGGCAAGACTGTTTATTGTTCTCCAGATTTGGGCCCTGAGGATTTTATTCCCAGGTGCCAAACGCTGACATATTATTCCGTGGTATTGGGAACTTACCTGGTATTCTACTTACTTTGTTTTTGTTAATGCTAAGCACTTAATGTTCAGAGAAAGCTATTTTTCATCTGATTTAATTTTTCCCAGAGAAACTGGTCCTATCGCATCCCTTTAGTGCAGGAATATAATTAAGAACAGCTATATTTTTGAAGATCAACTCTCTCTTTACTCTAAATGTCTGTGATGTGTCCACTTTTCAACCCTCATCTTTTCCTCTTTTACTTCCTAGTTATAACGCTGGGAGTCCAAGCCTCCTGGGTGTTGTCGGGGAGGGGGTCCAATCTGCGTGCTCACAGTGACTAAATGCTGGTTTCAGTTTAACTGTAAAGCATTTTCTATTGTCGAAACAGAAGAGGCATTCATAGCTTTCCAAAGTAAGGACATTCTTTAATGGATATTCAGAAACGTGTCTGACAGACTAGCTCTATGCTAACAAATTGACATCCAAGATACTCGGAAGGGATTTGTGTTCTGTTCTGTTTTTATTTTATTTTCAATGTGCAGATCGCATTGTTAGCTAGCTGCTCCGCAGGAGAGGCCTCATCCCTGTGTGTGCGTACGTATGTAGTTGATGAAGAGCTTGGACTGGAGTCTTAATTCTTGAGCACAATGTTGATCCACTGAGTTGCCCCATTTCTCTCTGCTCAGCTGGACCACGGGTTTACCATCAAGAGATCAGGGTCTTTGGACTACTACCAGCAACCAGGAATGTATTGGATAAGGTATGAGATGGTGCAGCTCAACAGTCAGTGTTTCCATGGCAACGTGCTGGCAGTCTCCATTTTACCAGTTCCTTCAGTGGATAAACATGTTTTTGATTTGTTCCCCAGTCCATATGCTGCTTTATTGGTTTCATTTGAATCTTGATTGAGATGCCACGCCCCCTCATTCCTTTTTTTCACCCATTATTCACACTGACATTTGCCAGCTTTCTTTCCATCGCACATGCTCAGTATCGATCTCCCCCCCCACCCCACCCCCGTACGGTTAAAAGGACAGTATATTCCATGCTGACGCCAAAGCATTTGCCTGATGTTGCCGATTGCAGCAGTGATGTTTCCAGAGCTCCTCTGTCCTGTGATAAACGGAACAACAGAAGCACCTTGGTGTGCGCTCTCTATATAAGTATATACTGTCATTTTAAAGTCATCCAGCCCAACCTTAACCTTAGAGGACGGAACAATGCATTTACACCTTAGCAGTAGAAATGCCTCCAAGTCCAGCGGGCTACAGAATGCATTGTGTGTGTTGGTGAGCTTGTGTTTCCAAATTCTCCACCTTTTCGTTCTGTTTTCGTTTGACCGTTTTCTTCCTCCCTCTCTCCCCGAAATCCCCTCTATGTACTAGCTACTGCATGAATTTACTTCTGATATCTCGTGATTGTCAGATTCTTTAGTTGGCTTATCTGCTTGAGCAAGGGGGTCTATGGGAAGTATTGACGTGTTTAACCAGCTTATGAATTCTATCCCATCGTTCCCCATTCCAGCCAATGGCCCTGGCACCTCCTGCAAGGGGCATTGTGTGTGTATCGCTCTAGAGTTATCCACAAGCAAGATAACTTTTGGTGGTTTGAGAAATGAACTCTGAGAAGTTCTAGCAAACTTCTCTTCACCTTAATGTCTCCAAAATGATTTCCAGGTAAAAGCTCCCTGGTGTAGCACTTGCCGAGAAAAAGCCCCCAACTTTGGCATTTATTCTCCTCAAATAATGGAGCCTGCTGGCGGCAGCAGTGTCTGCCTGACATTGTCTCTTGGCTCAGACTGCCAAGTTTTACCAAAATAAGTTTATACTCATCTGTAGATAGATACATATACACTTTATAGATAATATGCATAAGTTTGCCCTATGATTATTGCTCCTAATTATTTTTTTTATAATTAGGGTCGCAGAACAAAGGGCTTAGAAAACCAGAATAGGGCACACTCAGACAAATAATCAAAAATGCAGTAAGGTCATGATCACTTCTAGATCTGCTTACCATAGAAAAACCCTCAGCCACAGTAAGACTTCTAAACGATTTTTCCAAAGAAGGCTCTTTGTGCCTTTGGGACTGGCCTAAGGGAAGGGTCCCACAGTCAGTGTTTCATTTACCTAAGTAAATTAGCTTTGGGGGAGGGGAGTTCATTACGATTTGCCTGCAACAGACCCAGCTTTCGACTTTTTAACACTGAAGATAATATAGGCGGGTACACCGTTTCACAAAAGCTAGTCTTACCAGTATGTTCCACACACTGTGCAGGCTCCTGAAACAACTTCTGTATTAGGCACAGAAGATCCCCAGCACCCTTCCCGGCCCTTCCCAGAGGGTGCCTTTGTCCCAGGGGTAATGACTAACTGAAAAGTCTACCTGTGGTAATTAGTCTCGCCCCTTTCATAGTCTATGTAAATTGACTCGTACCATGCTGCGGCCTTTCTTATCCTATGTCTCCTGTCCTGATGCATATCACCCGGATGTAGAATTGATAGACAGTGGAAAACAGGCATCAAGTGTGTCTAATTATATCTGTACTTAATTGTGTTTAAAGAAAGAAAGAAAGAAAAACTGGCATCCTAAAATCCTTCTAATTTCAGAAAAAGAAGGAGAAATCTTGAGGAATTACAAAACTCCCGTCGAATTAAGGGTAGGCGCAGTGTGTCAAGCAAACATAGCAATTAATACATGTGACCCAGTATTAAAAAGACTAACTACAAGCTAGCGACGGCTCCCCTCGGCAGACAGAATGACACATCCCTGAATAATGGGCAGGAGCAGATGGGAGATAATCTCTTTTTTCTTCCGCACATAAACTGCTCTGTTTTCCAGCTGGGGGCAGTAACAGCAATGTTTATAGTTAACTGCGGCACTAAACAGCGCACACAGTATGTAAAGCTAAACTGGAGACGTGACACTGAAGTCTCATTGCCATCTACGCTTAATTAGGAAGTTTTATAATGCCATTTAGACCCAGAATGAACGTGCTCCCCTTGCTGATCGCAAATGCTTCCATTTTATCTCGGTGGAAGTGGGAGCATTCATCTACCCAGGGTGGCGGGCCAACTTTTCAACATAAACAATCATTGCGGGCAAACGACCCAGCGGCTCCCAGTTGCTGTGTTTATAAGCGTGGTGGCAAAGCACTCCGGAGTCCCGCTTGGATTTACAAAGTAGCTCACGCGAGGGTGTCAGCTGGTAAAACCATCTCCATGAGGTGCCCCAGATCGGTGGGATCCTCTTCATTGACATCTTAGTGATGTGGAGACATGATGGGGGTCCATTTTCCTTCTCTCTCACACCCTGACTCTCGGCAACTCCGCTCTCTACCTACACCCAGGGAACTGCATTCTCTGACTGCCTGGCCCATGTATCTAGGAGGCCTTTACCTCCCAAAGCCCAAGCTCACTAGGCTGGGCCACACTCCGGAATTCCACTTCCGGTTAGCCCCGGAAGCATTGCTGGGGCTCCTGGCTGCAAGTCACATCCTGCCCTACCCTTTCCCCCTCCCGTAGGGGACCGAGTCGCTCTATTTCTGCCTTTCCCAAGTACAGATGCCCCTGTGGCTGGTGCCATGGCCAAGATCACACAGAATTCTGCACCTGAAGTGTGCAGACCATGGTCGTGGCCAAAATGAAGTAACTGGGTTAAATAAAACAAACGTCCAGAGAGGACGCCGGTGCTGAAATAGCTGGAATGGGGAGGTGAGCTAGGACAAAGGGGTGATTGAGTTTCTAGGCATGACGTGACTGAAATGTGCATATTGGTATCAGCCCTCCCTCCCGCAGCACCGAGTAATGAGGCATTGCCACGGCCGGGCTCCGGCTTTGGGAGGCTATCCAACCCTGTCCTGCTCAGCTGTGGAAAGGGATGGGGTTCTGTGAAATGAGTCTTGCTGGGTGCAGGTTTGAAAGAGGTGTCCCTGGTTTAAGCCAGATAGGATTCTCAACATACTGTGAGCCCAGCAGACAGAGCTCTGCCTGCCATGGCCAATGAGGCCTGCTTGGTGGCAGGTCACATTGACCTTGCGGTGCTGAGTTCCAGAGCCTAGTGGGGAAGAGCAGAATCCTCTGTAACAACCACCGGCTTCTTCCGTAACAGAGGGGGTGAGGTTAAAGCAACCAACGAGTCATAGACAAACTTCAAAGTCAGTCACGCTTTGGTAACAGAGAAGCTTCGGGAAAACAGTGAGCATTGGGCCCACAACAGTAAGCAGTTGTTCCTTGATAACCCCTGAGGTCTCAGGCCAGATTCTAACCAAGTGAGAGCACTCTGTATCTATTGCTGAGACAAGAAGGGCAGGAATAGCGAGACATGGTGTTACACGCCTTTGATCCCACACTTGGGAGGCGGGGGCAAGTCAATCCCTTTACGTTTAGGGCCAGCCTGGCCTAGGTAGCAAACTCCAGACCAGCCAGCAGCCAGTACTACACAGGGAAGCCTTGTCTCCAAACGAGTAAAAAAAAAAAAAAAAAAAAAAAAAAGCACTAGTGAGCCACCTGGGTCACGCCTCACCAAGCCAAACAGATGGCTGTTTTGATTTTGTTCACTGGATTTGTTTTCAGAGGCCCCTTCTGAGAGCATTACAACAACATATAAATCTTTCTGTAAATTCGACTGTAAATAGGAAGGAGAGGAAAGTGTGGTACACCTAAGTCCTCCTCAGTGGGTGTGAATTGAAGGGGTCTCTTCCCCCCCCCCCGGGGGGGGGTCCTGGATAATTCCGTATCTACTACGTACTGCTTGCTATCTATTTTTACATCGCTTTTTGACTTACAAGTAAGCATTTCCAGTCTTTTCTGCATACATATTTCGGCCACATTTTGCAAGTGGGCCTTAGTCACACTCCCGGAAGAGGCTCAGAAATCAGGCATGAAAAAATGGGGAGGCAGGGGAACCTCTCTCCCAGGGAGCAGCACACAGCCTATCTAAAAAAAAAAAAAAGAGTACACATGTTTACAAGCCGGAGTCAAAGCACACCACATGATAAGCACACACCACGTTAAAGACCAGGATGACTTGAACTTTGATTAAAACCTGGCAGCCATTGAGAGAAGGGAACTTTGGCAACAGAGAGCCTAGGGTTTGGAACCAATCTTTCTTGCACCTTCACCTGTCCCAGTCCCCCTAAAAAATCAGGAAGGCTTGCCTTGTGGTTCCCTCACTTCCGAGAGAAAGCCACTGCCTAGCAGAGCCGGTCTCCTGTGTAAAACTGATGTTTGTTGAGGTGGAATCCTAAATTTTTCCAACACGTTCTTCCGGCAAGCACCTGAGTTTTAACAGGCGTTTGCAACAGCCGTCTTCACTCAGGTGTGCAGAGCTGAGTTATCGTGAAGCGTGAGTTTAAAAGGCCGTCCTCTGAGACAGGGTTAGCATGCTACAGCAAATGGAGAATCTAGCCTTCTTTCTGTTTGATTTTCTTTAAAAAAAAAAAAAAAAAAGAAAAAAAGAGGGGGGGTTCTATTAGAACACAGCTGCATCCATTCATTGACATGTCTGTGGTTGCTTGTGCCCAGACTTGAAAAGTTCTATCAGAGACCCAAAGGACCTGAAACCCGAAACGCTTACCTATCTGGCCCGTTGCAAAAAAGTCTCCTAACCCTGTATTTAAGGGTGAAGGGTCATTCTAGATTAAAAGTACCATCTATTAAAAAAAGAAAATTTCATGAGACTAGGGCTGGGACCTATTTAAAATAGTATCTTTGCTAAATTAATGAACGAATAGTTGAACTCCAAAGAAGGAATTTTTGG